AAGCTAAGAAAATGCTTATCTCCCTGAGCCTGGCCTTCATAATTCCGTTCCATCACAGAGCGGTCCTTCTTGAAGCAAAAACAGGTGGCCGGGGTGGCAGGTGGCTGATGGCTGTTACCCTCACCGCAGCAGTGGTGGGGAAGCCCTCCTTCTGTTTGGGTAACGTCAGCAGCTGCCCTTTCATCCAGACTTCGAGTGTGCCCCTCCAGGCACTGGCTGCCAAGGGCAGGAGCTGCTCCAGGAACTGTGGGGTGGGTTCAGCCGGGAATCGGGGGTGTGTGGGGTGTGTGTGCGGGGCTGAGGCAGAAAAAAGCAAGCTCAGCGAAGTCCATAGTCCCTCTGGATCCTCTCGGCTGCCCAGCATACCCAATCCTGCCCGGTGCTGTTTTTCCCTGGGAGCTTGAGCTAAGCCGGCTGATGCTTTTGAGGCAGTCAGAAGCGCCTCTTTACCTGCCCCCTTTTCCTATGGGGAGGTGGGAGGAGAAGGAGTGAGTAGCCTCTGAGGCCTTCAGTCAGAGCGAAATGTCCTCAGGGGTCACTTGGTCCACCTCCGCTCTCAGGGAAGAAGAGGTGGATTTACCCTTCATGGCACCCCAGGAGGCTCCAAGCACGGCATCCAGAGTTTCCAGACAGTGAGAGCCCCTAAGCAGTGGGGCAGCCCGCCTCCTAGATCGGGGAGGGTCTCAGACAAAGACTGGGCAGCCATTGATGGTTTGAGGATTCCTGTCCTGAGCAGGGGGTTGCACGACAAAACCCCTCCCAGCCCTGGGGTTCTGAGTGGGCAGATGAATGGGCAGGAGCCGTGGAACGGTAATCACGATCTGCAATACTGTGGCATGTCTGAAAACAACCTGGGAAATACTCGCAGCAAATGCAAGCTTGTAACAGACCAGAAGAAACAGATTGGAGCAGCGAGTGGTCCCACTGCCCCAGATGAGAGAGGATGAAGATTTATTAGATCCAAAGGAGGAGGGGCTGCAACGGGAAGGCGTAAAATACTCTGCACCCAGAGGAAAAATGAAACAGGCTGCGAGCTTTCAGAGGAAGAAAAAGAAGTACCGTGGAATAGGAAATGGGACGGTGAATCCCTGGCTGGCAGACAGCGTGCAGGTGCATCCTGCAAGAAAACAGAACAGTTCTGCCAGCTGGTAATTCACTGCTGTGAGGAATCAAAACAGCTGTGCATCGGCTACACCTATCAGCTTGTGAATGTGCTATCTGCCAGGAGCAAGGATCACGGATGTGACGAACCTAAATCTTGTCAAGTCCACTGGCAATCATCTGCTGGGAGACTAGTGGGCTCCCTTGTGCAGCTGGTTGGCCACTGTGAGAACGGACTGCTGGGGTGGATAGGCCAGGGGTCTGATCCAGCAGGATATTACTTATGTTCTTATCTTTCTGGTAATTTTTCTGGGGTCAAACGATGCTGCGAAGAACAGCTGCATCGTACTGCCATGAACTTTGAAGATCAAGGAAGGCCACTCGCTATCCTGAGGACTCTCATAGAGTTCTTATCCAGTCTCCCATTTCATGAAAGAGGACCAGAAAGGCAAAACAAAATTTGAATGACTGGATACTGATGTGAGATCTGGTCTCTTTCACCATGGTATGAGTTATCTAGATACAGTAATGAATTGCTAACTCAGCTGGGTTGAACTCGTGAGAACTACAAAAATGTGTTTGGCAGAAGCATGGCAGACTTGATCAAGAGGGCTTTATGCTGAACCCTGTGGAAGTTAGAGATAGTTTATTGGAAGGCGAACTGTGGAGGTGGTTCTCCACTGGCTTGCGATGGGAGGTTCTCCAAACCTCCAGCTGCCTTACTTTTTTTCCTGGGTGGTGGGGACACTTCCAAACAAGCTCAGAGCTGCGGCTGCCCACCATTTTTATTCTCCAATAACATTTGTGGAATCCAGCTGCCAATTTAACTGTTTTTAATTAAAGAATTTTTTAAAAAATCAGGTGGTCAAGGAGCCCGGTAGGGTAACTGTGGACACACAGCTGCTCAAAAGCATAGCATTGCTCACCTCCTGGCTTAAGCTTTTATGGAGTAGAACAGGAAAAAAAGAAAGAAACAGATAAGTTATCACACTCTGTATGGTCTCTGATACCATCTCAATAAAAATATAGTGATGAGCACCACAGAAAGACTTGGGGTTGAGCCTCAGCTGATCAGGACTAACCCTGCTGCTGTAAACCAGGTGAGCTAGAAAGGAGGAAGCCCCGCTTCATGCCCGGAAGCCATCGCTGTGTACAGGCAAGCAGCGGGTGAGAGTCTCATGCAAAGTTGTCCCCCTCCATCCCAGAACCCACTGGGATAAGGAGCAGGAGGTGCCCAACCCTTCCCACTCATATTTGAATCCATTTCTGCAGCTGAGCATCACAGCCTGGAAGTAGCTGAGAGCCCATAGGACTGAATCAGAGAAATCTCAGTTGTGGAGTTCACGTTGAACACAACAGGTCCTGCTGGACTGGGGATGGATCTTCCATCTGAGTCTCAGCAAGACCACGCTCAGCTGGCTCATGTTTCTGCACTGTGCTGCCCAGTGCGCCTTGCCACATATCCTCCCTTCCAAGGCAGGAAGATGGAGCCATCTGGACCAGCAGGACTCTGTTTTAGGTCAAAAGAGTTTGACCCAGGGAGGGCTGGCAGGAGCTCAGTTGTGGAGATGCAGGACGGAAAGAAGGAAGGGTTCCTATCTATGCAGTTGCCGTGGGGACAGCCCAGGCCAGGTTTGGGGGTCATCAGTACCCACCCAAGCCCTCGAGGAGCACGTGGGTGGTTATGGAGCAGTGCTTGGGGCCTGTTGTGTGGCCTGCCCAGGGAGGCGCTCTGCGAAGGGCTGATGGCAGGAAGGAGCTGCAGAATGATGCTGGTGAGGAGTGAGATTTCGCCAGCATCTCACCTGGATGACGCAGCCCAGATGTGGGAGCCTCGGGTGCAACTGCGTGGACTCTGGCCTGGCCTGGACAGAGGCAGATGCTCAGGTCCCGGTTCATTTCTGGCTAAAGGCAGGAGGGGGGGTTGGGGGAGCCTCCCTGCTGATGAACTGTCCCTCAGGGGCAGCCGGTGAAGGGTGACAATGCAGAATATTGCTACTGCAAGGAGTGTGGGAAGAAAAGCAGAGCAAAGCAGGGTGGACCCAGATGCACCACCCTTGACTCTATAGCAGACTTTGCTTGTTTAATGAGAGCCCGCCTGTCTAGGGCGCCCCACAAAAAGGGCCAACCTGCCCGGCCTGGCCCAGGACTGAAGCCACAATTTCCCTGCCCTGCAGAAAAACTTACAGGTGCCCCGAGCGACCGGCCAGCTGGCCGAAGTGGAATGAAAAGCCACGGTGAGAAATGGACATGATGGAGGTCAGCGTGGTGTCTGAGCCTGGGAAGGGAGGGCACCTTTTCCAAAGAGCAGCGCCCCCCCCCCCCGCTGTGATTGTCACTTCCTGCCCCCTCTAAGCTCTGGAAATGAACAGGCTGAGTGGCACACCGCAGCAGCTCCTCTGCTTGGGACAAAGGTTTAATGGTAGGGTAGGAGCAGGAGAGATGCCGTCCTCCCCCCGTGCCTCCCCCAGTTAAACTGGGCCGGCTGAGGCCACATCCATGAGCACAAAGCTCTTGACGTGGTGGAACTTGCTGCAGGAGAAGTCGACGTGCAGCTGCATGGCTCCTGTGCAGCGAGGCGTGAACTCAAAGTAGATTTTTGACCGCTCCCCGGGTGCAAGGTCTGCCACGCTGAAAGAAGAGGGGGAGGGGGGAAATGAGCTTCCCAAGGTCTTTGGGGGAGGGGCTGCTCTTGGACAGTGCCAGGTCTCGGAAGGGTTGCCAGCTGGAGGTATAGAGCCAGCAGCCCTGCCACCCGAGAGCCAGGCCGTGGGGCGGGTGGGCGGGCGGGCAACCCCAAAGCGTTGCATGGGCTCAGCCTCACAGTGACCAGCCTGGCATTCAGGGGGAGCATGGGATGGCCCAAACTTTGCCCTGGCTGGGCAACTCCCAGGCAAGCGTGTGAGCCTGGTATCCCCTCCCTCCCAGTCCCACGTACTTGATCTTGACGGCCTGGCCCATCAGGGTCACCAGCAGCACGCAGTCCTTCACTGGCTCAGGAAGGGGGTTGGCGTAGGAGATTTCCACTGTAGCGGGCGCGTTGGCAAACACCTTCGGAGGAACCTTCAGGGAAAGCAGCTGGTCAGCCCTATCTTAGGTCTTCTCAGTGCCACAGACCTGGGCTGGTGGGAGATCTTGATCTGCGATCCCCCCTCCTCCCCTTTCTCAGATGCCAAGCGGGACGTGGGCTGGGGTCCTCTCCTCAGCCCTCATCAAATGCTTCATTCTTTCACTAGAGGTGACTTTATCTATATGCTGAACCATTTAATTGTTAGCACTAACGAGGGATTAGGAAAGAAGACACCCCACCCCACCCCCCCGTCACCAGATCCACAGTGGGAGCAGAGAATGAACGGTCTCCATTCCCAGCTGGTGGCCTGGAAAGTCTAGGGAAGGCTCCTCCTTTGCCCACAAGTAGGTGTCCAGGAGCAGACATGCCCCTGCATTTTGGGACTGCTCTCCCCTCCCCCCGCTGAACACGACAGGGGAGGGGAAAACAGATTTGAAGGCCCCACAGAAGGTTCTCTGGGGCAACGATGGATGGCTCCAACTCGGCCCAGGGTGTGTTCGTGGGCTGCACTGCTGGGGCTCACATTTGGCGCCCCACTGGCCCCACTTGGTGTGGAAAACCCTTAAATTAGACTCATGAACGCAGCAGCCATGAAGGCCTCATCCACTGCCCAGTGCAGCTGCTCCCCCATCAGCCAGGGAGATTTCGCGTCCCCGTTGCGGGTCCCCCTCCTGCCTCTGTTCTGGCTTGAGGGGGTGGGAGCAAAGCCGTTACTTTCACCCTCTGGCTTTGCTGCCCTCCTTCCTCCAGGTCTGAGAGCTGCCAGCCAGTAGGAGCGGCTGCCAATCCCAGCGAGGGGCCTGTGGGGGGAAATGGGGTTTGGGAGGTGGCAAGTGTCGACAGGAGGCCCGATCCGCCTCTCTCTTCTACCATGCCCAGCAGCAAAGCAGGAGAGGGCGGGTCAGTTCACCAGCAACTCTGCAGGTCCCCCGAACTGTGGCGGTGTGGTGCTTGTGGCAAAGCACCCCCTTTTGGAGACACGCCTCTTCGGCTCTTTTTGTGGGGAGAGGAGAAAAAGGAGGGCACCTGCCCCCCAGCCTGGAGGGTTGCTGCCCCTGCCACCTCCAGGCCGCTGCCAGCGCAGGCAGAGAAACGCACCAGATTTGGCGCCCCTGGAACTGCACTTTGGTCCTGGGGACAGGAGTGCCAACGGCCTCACAACAGCAATAAGGCTGCCTCGCCCATGGGTCGAGCATGAGACGGAGGACACCGCAGAGCAGACGTGCTCACAAACGGGAGAGGCCGGGAGAGGGAGAGTCCTGCAGCCAGAAGCCCCCAGCAGAACGCTTGGAGAAAAGTGGTCCTCTGGGAGCCCCTCTGTGGGCTGGCGGCCCTCCTTGCCCACACCGAGGGAGCGGGGAGGCAGGGGCAGGGAGCTCATCGTGCATGCGCTTCTTTCCCTGGTCTGGAGCCCGCAGGAAGCCCAGGGGCTGCTTCAAGATGCTCATCTCTTCCCATCCACCGGAAGTAATACTGAGCTACTAAAATATTTGCAATTAGGGAATAAAATGGATTGCAGCATCAACTGAAATTAACAGTATAATCCTAGACACGCCTCCCTGGAAATAGTCCACCCCTTTGTGGGGGGGAGCTAACCCTTGGCCCCAGCTGAAAGACCAGAGCATTGGACCGTACACGCTGGCCATGACCCGCCGGAGGGAATGCAAGATCGAGAGGGTGAGAGCCCTTCCCCCAGCAGGGCCACAGCTAGCTCCCCAGATCGGCTGGAGGGTCACAGGCAACCACGCCGGGAGGGACGGCGTGGTCGGCCCACTGGGCCTGAAGTCAGAAGGGAGTCAGAAACGTACGGCAGCCAAACCTCCCCCTTTCCCATCCCTAAAGCCCAATGAAATTCCCCCCAATAATCCAAAATCTCATTCCCGAGATTCTGCAGCGTAACGGCCAATTTTTGGTGGCAGGATTCCGGGCCATTCTGGCAGGTCCGGGGCAAGTTAAGGGTGGAAATGGAAGCGGTTTGCCTCCTGGGGCCCCCGCGCCACTCCTCCCCTTGCCCGTGGGAAAACAGGAGAGGCGCCAGGCCGACAGAAGGCCGGCCGGTTTGCGGCTGAGTCTTCTCTAGGGAGCACGACGGGCTGCGTGAAGGGGTTCCCTGAGCCTCCTGATGAGGAGGGCTCCGTCTCCCACCGGAACAGCGGTGGCCCCAGACGAACCTGGACTTCTAGAGGGAAGCTACTGAGTGGAAACCAGCCGGCCTCGTGCAGCGCCGCTGGCTCTGCCATGCTCGAGGCGTTCCTGCTCCTGCTGGCCAGGCCGGGCCGGGCCGGGCCAGTGGTACGAGGATCTCCCACACGCCCCAGAAGGCTGCGCTGGGGCGGAAGCATGGCAGGGAAGGATGGCGCCACAGGTGCCTTGGGAGCGGGGATGGGGGCCGCCGGGGTAGTCCATTGCCCGCGGCCAGGCTGACTTCCTGACTTTCTGGTATGTGGGTGGGTGAGATGCTTACCGTGATGGAGAGGCTCGGGCTCTCGAGGGTGATGGCCTTCTCCACCAGCAGCTTCACGCCCCCTAACACATCGCACAAGGCTGTCACCAGGAGCTTCTTGTCGTCGGTCAGGGAATTGCCATAGTGGGCGTAGGTAATCCGCAGCGGGAGGTGCTTTTCTGGAAGGCAGGAGGGCAGCGTCGAAGCCCGGCCAGAGCCTCCCCGCTCCTCCTTCACTTCCCGCAGCCCGTTTCCTGCCCCAGGACGCCTCTGCGGGCCGTGCCCCCTCGGTGGGCAGAAGAGCCTGCCCGGGCTGCTTGGCATCATCCCCCCCGGCCGCCCCCCCCCCCCCTCCCAGGCTTGGGTCCCGCTCCACGGCCCAGGCTCGGGCCCGGACGTGGCTTTCCTGCCTCGGCCGTGGTGGCTGCTCCCAAGGGCGGCTCCTGGCAGCTGCGGAAGCCTTCTCCGCGCGGCCAGGT